ACCCAGGGTATGGATGTCACGAGGCCTTCATCCCGGGATTTCCGGCCCAACTCCCTCTCGCTCATCCTGGTGATCCTCTTCCAGGTCCCCTTCACGGTCTCTAGCGGCGGCCACTGGCCGCGGGGCGTGTAAGCCTCGCCGTCCGGCCCGAGCACGACCCAGTCCTTAAGTGGTAGGTGGTGATCGTCAGGAATGAAGTCTTGCATGTTGGGATGTTGACTCAGCACGTTCGTGGTCACCTTGCTGGGCACAGGCAGGCTCATCACTTCACCGGGTTTGCACCGATCGCACACGAAATTTCCAACGCCACCGCGTCTGTTCCTCTTGACTGCCACCTTGTCCTCCCAGCTTATCCCCAACATCGGACGACAGATGCCCTTCCAGAAGAACGACGTGTAGTCACCAGAGGGCTCAAGTGCCTTGTAGGTTTTAAACAGAGCCTCGCGCAATTCGCTCATGCTCGCCATGGATGTCTGCAACGGAGTAATTGAGTCACCTTCAGTCAACTTGCCAGCCTCGGCCAGCTGCACCAAGACCTCTTGGGCCCTTCGAACTCTCTCCGCTTCGTCAGCAGCATTCCTCTCGGACGTGGTGCCGCGTGCTGAGTCGACTCTCACCGTCGGACGAATTGCACCACTCACCAACTGGATCTGGTCTTGGCTTACCAACCGACCTCCGCTCTTCATCAGCTCGTCCACCGTCTGCAGAGCGATGGTTAGAAACAGCCGTGGGGTGATACGATCTTGATCAGCAAAACCAATTCTTACACAATCGGGCAGCGCTGGCGGGAAGCGGTCAGGAACGTTCTCTCGACGATCCCACACGACGCGCTCAGTCGCAAGCGATTCACAATGCTCCTCCCCAGGTACCGTAACGTCAAAGGTTACCCCAGTCAGCGCCGACAACAACGCCGAAATCTCCTGAGACTCTGAGGCACAACAGCCTCTCATTTTCAATTCACGAAAAATCCCCAAACAACCACACGGACCTCACACGGGCCTCGGCCGACCGCCAGTATTGCGACGGAACTCAACTCAGTTTACAAGGCACCGAGGGACGGTAGCAAGCCGCAGTCTGGACCTTTCCCCTTTCTCGGTGGACTGCCTACTAAACTACTGCCGAATTACAAACGCGTGTTGACTGAATCATTGAAACGTTTTACTACCGCTGCTCGAGAACCACTAAAGTTGTACTTGGATGCATCCAACACAGCTGCTGGACTAGTCCTAAAGCAAGCTAGCAATACCTTAATGATGACCGCATCCATTCCGCTACTGACCGTACATAACTATGCAGATACGAGACGGCGTCTCCCCACTTGAATAGACCAAGATCTCATCATCTTTATCCACTAAGAAATCTAAGTCGACTATGAAGAAAAAGTTTTGCGAAGATGGTTGTTTCAGACCAATGGTTGTTTCAGACCAATGGTTGTTTCAGACCAATTTGAACCAACCAAATACAGATCAATGGATCCAAAATATTGCCGAAGTCATCTCCTCCACCACCACCGAAGCCGGTACGAAAGTCAACTTACAGATACAGCTCAGATCCCACGTCTATGAGGCACTCAAGCAATCCGGGAACTACGAAGAGTTCACGGACAGGCTCTCCAACAACAACCACCAGGCTCTCCAACAACCACCTTATACTCGCTTCCTTTGCCATCTCCTGGTCTGCCTACGTATCTCTCTCTGAAGAGTAATATCCGGACGGGAACTGCAGCCGCGCTCGTGTCGTGGTTCTCTCGACTCTGTGTGCCGTCCAGGGGCGTGGCGACCTCGGGAGGAATTTTTCTACACGACTCATACCTACAAGTGTAATGCCGGACATCACAGCCATTAACAACGATGCCCTACCTATCACTGGCGACAGCTACTGGATGGGTTGAGGGTGCATGGGCTTCCGAGGTTCCCGCGACCAGAGGCGATGGACAAGTCCGAACGAAACTAGTGGGTTTCACGAGTCAGCAGCAAGCCGTGGCCGAAGCCGACATCACCAACGAGCAGCGATTCGAAGATGTCTGGGTCGACTCCGTAGCCGCCTTAGTCCGACACGAAGACTGGGTAGACCGCAGTCCGACATGCAACCCTCAACACATAACAACATGGAAGAAACCGCCATGATTCAACCACTGTGGAACAGAATCCCCCAGTCGAACGTGGCGGTTGCGACCGTCCAACCTGGAGATTTCCCACAGCTCAGGCGCATCCTTGGCGTGGCGTCTCCGCAGTGGAGGACCTGGTTTGTAAACATGGGCACTGGGGCGAGCCTGTTCGACGTCTTGCAGAAGATAACCAACCACCACAACTGGCAAGGGACGCCAGTGCTGGTCGTAGTCGTAACGGGGGACAGGGCCCAAGAGCAACCAGAAGACGACATCGACGGCGTACTCTCCCCACAACAAATGGGAACGAAGCGGCGCTGCTACAACTGCGGACTCCCCCGTCAGGGAGAAGGGGAGGGATGCCCAGCACGCAACTCACGTCGTGACAACTGCGGCCGAATGGGACACTGAAGAAAGGAACTCCCGTCTACTCTGTGACAGAAACGTCGCAAGGACGCCTCCAGGTCAAAGTCGGTGGCGGGTGAGAGCCCTTTTCTGTAAAGGTCCATGCACGCAATACCCGTTGCAGCTCTTTATAGATGCCGGGGCCGAACCTAGAGAGCCCGACAGATACCGGGGCCGAGATCAGTCTACTTCGAGAGCGCGGCACAGAGAGAGCGGGCGTGCCACTCTCAAGGCAGAGCATGAGAATCGACACGGTGCTAGGATCCGGCACCCTGCCCCTCGCAGCACCAGCCGATACGCGCATCGGCGAACACAAGAAGGACTCCACCTTCGCGGTGATGCCGCCAAATGACCTGCCCAACCTACTGGGCACACCCGACCTGGACCTACTGCCCACGGTAGGCCCGACCAGAATGGCCCTGTGGGCCAAGAGGGGATACGTCGACGAGTTAAGACTATCCGACCCGAGGTAGAGGGAGACCCCGCCCTTGGAGCCACCAAGGGAGGCACGACACTCGCGGTGGAGACGAACCACGCGAAGCAGAAACGGCTGTTTGAGCAAAACACACAGCACATGGACGGCGAGCACCGCGGCTCCTGGAGGAGTTCAAGGACACATGGGAGTACCCCAGGGTGGCGCAAGTCAAGGACGGTTCGGGGCAGCAGGACGCCCGCACAAGGCCAGGGTGCGCCCCTACAAAATCAGATGTTGGAGGAGTTGAAGCAGCAGGTCGCAAAGCAACTGCAGCTCGGAGCCATCCGATCCTCGAAGACCGAGTGGGCTGCCGCTCCTCACTTTGTAAAGAAGGAAACCGGGGAATCGATGTGCGTCATCGACTACCGCAGCTTCGACGCGGCCATGGTAGCAGACTCCAACCCCCTTCCACGCATCTGGGACCATCGGCGACGGGCGGCCGGACAGAGATACTACTGCACGCTAGGCATGAACTCAGGGTCGTGGAATGTGCCAATCGAGGAGGTGCAAGACGCTTTATAAGTCTGATTGGCCTTTTCGAGTTCAAGTCATCTGCTAAGAGAAAATGCGTTCTGCCACATTGACGACATCGTCATTTTTGGACAGGACTTCGACAGCGTACTGCAGCGGGTTAAGCTCATCCTGGAACAGTGCAGGAAGACCGGTTTCTACTTGCGCCTAGACAAGAGCGAATGGTTCAAGGACGAAGTGAAGTACCTCGGGCACGTCGTCGGCCAGACGGGCATAAAGGTCTAGGAGAAGAAGTCTCGAGCAATCGTCAACGCACCGGCCCCTGCCAGCAAGAAGGAGCTACAAAGCTTCCTAGGGATGTGCGGCTATCTGAAACCCTTCATCCCCGAGTTCTCACACATCACGGCGCCGATATTCGGCTTGCTGAAGAATGGCAAGACCTGCGAGTGGCGGGGCGTGTTCTGACGCGCCGCCCAGAACACCGTCACGCTGCATGCCCCAATGGCAAGTACATCATAGAGGCCGACGCGTCCGAGTTAGGTGTCGTGACTGTACTCGAACTAATCTCTTGCGACAACGTAGCGAGCCAGCTACAACAAGCTACGTTGTAGCCAGTCAGCTACAACGTAGCAAGAACGCAAGCAAGTGCAACAGCAAACGCTCCCAAAGCGAACGGCGGAGTCCCTCCTCAGAAACCGACCGTTTGAGGAAGACCCACCCCACGGACCGACCAGGAGATATCGTCGTGGAGTTTGTCGACCCGCAGCATCGTCCCTCAACGGACCGGAGACGCCAAGGTGGTTCGCGCCCAAGTGGTCACTCCCCATGAAGGTGGTAAACACAACCCGCGCGCAACTCGAGGTGGAAGGATACGGCCAGCCAGGTTCCGCGTTCCAGGTACACCAGGAGGTTCATGCGAAGTGAGGACCCCCAACTCGAGTCCATAACAAACCAGTACTCGCAGAACGTCGAGGACGAGGCCGCAATCGACCCCGAAACGGGAGCGATATTTAACAAAGATTTCTACACATGTTTTTGACACAACTCGTTCACAGCCATTAACAGCGATGCCCCATCAGGTGCTTCTTTTTTTCTGGTGTTGATACCGGGGAAAAATCAGTCAGCCGACACGCCTGGCGTGGGCGCGTAGTTGTCAAAGTCGTCACAGCCTGCATCGATTCGCACTTGGTCCCAGAATCTCAGCTGTCTGTCGGCGGCGTCTTCATCGTTTTTGGCGGTGAGGCAGAAAGGGACGGTAGCGAGGCGTAGTGTAGAAGTATTGCCTATGGACTCGAGTACGACGTATGCTTGTGCGTAGCTGCCAATGTACCAGCCGGTTTGGCCAGGACTCGTGACTCGGGCTCCGCCGACAAGGGTAAGCGCGTCATCTGCGAGTCGTGTGACAAGTCGGGGAGAGAGCCGGTAGGACTTGAGGAAGTCTCCGAGGTTGGCAACTCGCCAATACTTGATACGGTCATCCAGGTCGCCTTGAATAACGGAGCTGGTCGTTCGTACTGGGGTGAGCGGATCCGGCCAGGATGTCCCACTACCCTGCTCAGGCTCCCAAGTGTGCAGCCACGGGAACGCCGTCATCTTGACGTCTTGCTGTTCCGCTTCCAGCTGTACCTCCGCCTTTATGCGCGCGACATGTTCCTTCCACGCGCCCCTGACGCCCTTCGGCGCCGGTATTTTTTCACTTGCTATCCACTTCTCGATCGGCACCGCCCACTCATTAACGGGCACTAGATGGTCGCTCGGAATCACGCATTTCGTCTCCTCGCTACCCGTTGCCAACACGGTGGTGATCAACCGGTTCGGCACCGGCAGGCTTACAACTGGACCTGGCTCGCAGCGGCCACACAGTTGCTCTCTGTGAAGGGCAACCACCACACGACCTTCACTGATTGCCAACATCGGACGACAAATACCCTTCCAACAAGACGACTTGTATTCACCCGAGGGCTCAAGCGTTCTGTAGCTCTTTAATAGTGCCTCCCGCAAGTGGCTCATGCTCTGCATCGATGTGGTTAACGGAGTTATTCCCGGAACTACTGGGTCACCGGGAACTACTGGGTCACCGGGAACTACTGGGTCACCGGGAACTACTGGGTCACCGGGAACTACTGGGTGATCCGAACTTATCAAGTCGGCCTCGGTCAATTTGCCTTCCTCGGCCAATTTTGCCAAGACCTTTTGAGCCATCCGGACTCTCTCAGACTCGTCAGCAGCCTGCTGGAAGTACATGTAGTTGACGGCGCCTTCCAGGTCCAGTCTCACGATCGGCTGCACATTGCTATCTTCCAATTGGATTTGCTCTCGGCAGAACAACGTGTCTTCCCTGCCCATCAACTGATCCACTGTCTGTAACGCAACAATCAGGAACAACCGCGGGGTCATTCGGTCTCCATCGCCAAACCCCACCCTGACACAACCTGGCATCGGCCGTGGCACTCCTTCTGCTTCCTTTTCTCGTCGGTCCCACACGACACGGTTGGTCGCAAGTGACTTACACATCTCTTCACCCACCACAGTAACGTCGAATGTCATCCCAGTGAGCACAGACAACAACGGCCACATGGCCTGGGTATCTGTGCCAATGCTTCCTCTCATCAACTGTTTAATTTCCCCACAAAAAATTCGACTCGCTATGGTCAGATTCCGAAAAACTTAAGCTATTCTAACAAGTATGCCTCGGCTTTAGTCCTTAGAGATGGAAACTCTGCAAGGGCGGGTGCATTAGCTACTGTGGCTACGTCATACATTGTTGTGACTGCAGCGCACCCCAGGGCCCAAGCTCGGTGGTACGCCCATTCAGTTACCACTCGGGCAATTGTCTCGTTAGAAGCTTGACTGTAAAGCCGGTTAAACGTGTCTTCATGGGCCGAAAATCGGAAAGCTTTTTCGTGACGCAAATTCTCAATAATAGTATGGCGTGTTAGACCAGTGTCCACAGCGTGCTGCTCAATGAGCAGGTCCATCAAACGACGTACAAATAGTTCCTCATGACGAATGGCCATGCGTAAGCCGCGGTGCTCCGTCTGGATGAACCTAAAGCCATCGCCGTTAGTGGCTGGAAAGCTTCCCCGTTGTTCTGGCACTTGCCAACGCACCAAATCCGCGAAGTAAGTGAAAAGCACGCGGTTTCGGTGTTTGAAGTAGATGTAGTGATCCATGTAGTAATCACTCCGAGCCAATATCAATCCGAGGGTAGCAATCCACTTGCCCAGTCGGGATTCGTAAAGCTCCCTCGGGGGGGAGTTGGTGGTGCGTATCTCTGAAAGCTGGTGTGCGATGTCACCCAATTTTTCGATTACTGTATCGGTTACTCCTAGGCCGAATCTAAAACAGTTCTTTCCTCCGAGCCAAATATCCTTCGCTTGATCAAGCTCCTCTGCTGGGTGATGATCCTTAGTAAATTCCTCTGGCGAATGCGCGACCATTTCCGTAAAGGCATGTACCAGAGCCTGCCCCGGATACCAACGCGCCAGTACAGCTAGATTCCACAATCTCTGTTCAGGTGTCAAAGCATCCTTTGTGTCCAAGTAGTAAGCCCAATAGGCCACCGCCGCAGCTGACTTGAGACTGATCTCAGATACTATGTTGTGAGCCCAAGGTGGTAGCGATTCCGGCCGATAGCCAAACCAAGATTCGGGTATGACAACTGTATTGTAGGCTTCTCTTAGGCGACCAACCACCGCGCTGGCACGTTCCTCGTTTTCAGGGTCAGACCAAAATCGAGGAAGAAGCCATTCCAGAATTGCTGAGAAACCAGACAGACTCAGTTGTTCGTATTCAACGATCCTTCCATGCGTTACGACAGTTCCACCCGACGGGCCGGGAGTGGACAGGAGCTGCCTTTCAAACCATTTCAAAACTTGCGCATCATCGCCGTCCGAGAAACGAAGGCCGTCCGAGAAACGAAGGCCGTCCGAGAGACGATCTTCAAGGCAACTAGCCACATGATCCTCAGCTAAACTCTGGAAAAACAAGTTCCGACCCGCCCGAACTGGTTCTCTACTAAGGGTCTCTTGCACCGCCAGTAACGTAGCCATCCCATGTTCAACCG